TGTCCACCGGCTGCTGTCCGTTTCATCTGCTTCACATTACACGAGTTTCAGTTTCGAGTTGGAGCTACAGATGGAGCTGGGAGCTGAGAGATGGGAGTTCGAGTTCTATGTGCATCTCTCATGCCTCATGCCTCATGCCTTCGGTTCACCCATTCAAAAGTTGATTCTTTGTTGGGGAATGGATTGCCACAGTCTGCCCCACAGACGACCACTTGGCAGTTCTCCCTCAAGGGAGAGTATCATCAGGGGGAGGGGGGGCGGACAGGGGCTGCAGCTTCAGATGCTGCAATGGAAATGAAATGAAACGAAGACGGAAACGCGATGCAAACGCAGACATCCGCTGCAGACGGAATTGAATATTTAACACCAAATCTCCACGAGAGAGGAGAACGTGTGGCAAATTGCCTTTGATATCCAATTGCTGGGGGAATGGTAGGAATCCTCGGAAGAGGAGCAGCAGGATAGAGGGATATTCCCATGGGTTGCTTAGTCTTCATTGACTCCAGAGCAAAAGGGCAGAGATTACGAGGAATTAAAACTGGCCACTGATTGATCTTTCATTCTCTATAAATATGAGATATTTCTACATTTATTTCTTTCTTGTATCGTGCGTATCCTTTCACATATTTAGTCATTCCATTGAGTAAATCGCTTTGATAGCCAATTCATTTTCACTGATTGCCAAAACCAATGCCCGAAAGCCAACACACAAACTGCAGGTGAGCCCCCATGCCTGGAGGCAATTTGCGGATGGTGCCAGACGGTGGATAGCTGCAGTGTGGAGTGGTGTGTCTTTTTGAATACAATTCTAGACCATAATTACATTTATTGCAGTACAAAAGCGCAGTCTCCCGGATAATCGGGAGGGGCAGTGCGGCAGAGGGGCAGTTGCAACATGCATTGACAGATGGTCAGTAGACAGAGTGACGGAGAGAGCGAATGAGGCGGACATGTCGTCACGCATCGATGGGCAGGCATGCAGGCAGGCAGGCAGGCAGGCAGCGGACGGACACTGGACAGCGGAAGGCAGCAAGGAGAGAGCGGAAGGGCGGTCCTACTCCATCGATATGGAGCAAAGGAATGGTAGACACACGGAGACAGAGACAGAGACACAGACGATAATTGCCACAATTTGCTGCATGTTGCGTGAATGAAAAGAAGGGCATGGAAGGGCCCTGCAACAAGGGGCATGTTTCTGCAGCTACATCGAGCCCAGAAGGGTGCAAGAAAGGACAACTTCCGTTGGCTGGACTGTGCACACGCGGATCTATGCTCGTATATGCACTTCCTTGTTGTTTTTGCTGTTTGTGTCATATTTGAGGTGAGCGTAAAGCCACTCAACGCCGCCATAAATCAACTGCACTCGGGATCTAAGGCTGTTTGTTGTCAGTCGAGAGTCCGTCATTCCCCTCACAGACGTAACGACAGTGTGTGGAAGTTGCAAATACTCTAAAAAAAGGGACTAAGATTGAAGTTAAACATGATAGAAAATGTGTGTCATGATATGTGCATGATAATCGTAATTCTTGACTATATTTGAGCCGAAAATGATCTTTTAAATACGAAGAAACTTACGCTGGACATACTTTGTAGAGTATTATGTTATGCCTTTGGATACCATCAGCTGTTTATAGTACCCATAGGCAGAAAGGGTATAATAACCCGCGACAGATACAACTTTTGCCCATAACTTTCCAGACGACAAACAGACAACATCGTCGTCGCCGGTTGTCGGTTGTCGGTTGTCGGCTGTCGTTGATGCGAATGTCGATGTCGATGACGATTTGGATATGTGTGTCTGGTCTTTGGGTCTGGGTCTCTGGCAAATGTTTCTCACACGCAGAGGGATGTAGGGAGAAGGGAGTGAGGAAGGGGGAAACCATGGAGAATTTTCAGGTCGCCTGCCTCCTTTTTGTGTTGTGTCGAAAGAGAATGCACCTGAGCTTTAGGGTTCGAAGCGACTCCGACTTCGACTTTGACTTGTGTCTAGACATCGCAGACGGTGCAACAAAAAAAAAAAAAACAGCAACAGCACAAAAAGGAAAGAAAAGGAAAGGAAACAACAGGAAACGCCAGACCAGACCAGACCAGACCAGACCAGACCCCTTTGACAGCTCAAACAACGACTGAATGAAACGAGCCGCCGCCGCCGCCGCTGACAGCAGCAACAATTGCAACGCAACAGTGCAGCAGCAACAACAGTGCAACAATGGGGCACGGCACCATCCTCAGTCCGTCCACAGGGGACGGGCAGGAGGGAGAAGCAAAGGCTGCAAAGATATTGGGCAAACATCCGAGGAAGATGTCCGCTGATGTCCAGTGTCCGATATCCGAAATGCGCCAACAATTCTCATTCTCAGCTGTCAATAAATATCTGCGCGTCTGCTGTCAATGGGTTGTCTGTCTGTCGTCTCCTCTGCTCTTCTCCGCTCCCTTTACTCCTTTCATTTATTGGCCCCCGGTTCTTTGTTTCCTTTTCTTTTGATTATTTTATTTCTATTTGTCAAATGTCTGAGGTCTGAGGCGACAGCCAGAGATTATCAAAAAATAAATCCTTTATTCCAGTCCAGCTTCAAGGTTCTATTGAAGTTTTGGAAGTTTTGGAGCTAGCGAAATGTTAACCATAAAATGTAGAATAAGTCTTAGGCAGGAGGATAAAGTAGGATAAAGAAATGTCTGGAAAGCAACTGAAAATCTTGTGAATTCTTATGAACTCTGAAACACCTTTGCCCGTGCATTAGTTCGTGAAACCCTTCCATATGTACATTTCTGTTTGCTTTTGGGGCAGCAAACAGACTAAAAAAAATCATAGAAATAAAAGAATTTGCATAATTTAAAGTGAAATTTCCACTTGCTTGGCATTTCCGTTCTTCAAACAGAAACTGAGAAATTCGAAACATTGTTTATCATTTGGATATGCCACAAATTAGCCAAAGACTCTCTACGAGTACCTGCTCCCTCCCATAACCACATCTCCCAAAGGAGCAGAGGAGCATCGTACAGGCAGGACTCAATTGTAATCCGTTTACAGAAATTAAGCTGCTAAATGAGTTAAAACTCAAGTCGAAACGAGGCGACATAATGGCAGGGAGAGAGGTGAGGGCAGGAACAGAGGGAGTACCACCAAATCCTAGGTAAAATCTGCACTCTGCCTCTCTGTCTGTCTGTCTGTGTGGCTCCCTTTGGTGGCTTGTGGTAGGGCATATCCACTGGATTTTGGCAGCCATTTAGTCCGACTTGCCCCTTGACTGTGCCCCTTTGCACCGTTGTCTGTTGGCTGTTGTCTGCCCCGTAGTTGTGTTTAATTATTCAAAACCATGTCATGTCTCTGTATAATTTTATGCATTGGCCAATCCGAGCGCCATGCCATGATTACGATGATGATGATGATGATTACGAGGATGATGATGATGATGACGCCTACACACAACGAAGAGTCTCAGCGCACAGCAGTAGAGACAGTGGAGGCAGAGGCAGAAACAGCAGACAGCTGACACCGAAACTACAACTACAACTATCATTCGAGTGGAGGAACAGACTGGCGGACGGACGGGCGGACGGACAACGCCACATGTGGCAAGGCAGCAGCAGCGTTGCACTGTGGCAAAGTGAGAGCCGAGCCAGCGCTGGCTGCTGCTGCCTGTTGGCATACCAGACAGTCTGACGCTGTTGGAGCCCACGAATATGGGGCCCCAGTTCCCATACCATAGCTCCCCCCTCTCCCCTCTCTGTCCGTTGGCTTGGTGGCCAGATCTTGCGGTGCTGTCTGGACGAGTACAACGACAACGTCGACAGACGGACGGACAGACAGACCGACGACCGACGACCGACGACCGACGACCACTGTCTGTGGCAGACCGAGACTATCGAAAACTCGAAATTTATTCGTTGGAAAAAGTTGATTTCAGTGTTGTTTTTATTTTCTTTTTTGTGGCTGTTTTATTTGTTGTTTATTTGTATCAATGAGTATCAAATAGAATAGAAGGGAATGATCGACATTCCTATATGTCGGAGAGTGAGGAAAAGTGCAAGAGGGAGAGATAAAAGTGTCTTAAAGTCCCCTCCAAACTCTGATTCCACTTATCTGCTCAGAGATCTTGCACTTCTCCATCGCATGTCATCTCTTTCGCGCTTTCATTTCCATCAAAATTCATTTCCAAGGTATTTTCCAGGTCTATCTTGTTGAACATCTTCTGCAGTCGTCTCGTCTCGTCTCTTCTCTCTGTCTCGTTCTCCGTCTGTCTGTTGTTTTTATTTCTGCGTTGAATTGCACAAAAAAAGCAGCAACAAAAAAGCAAGGCAACGAAAAAGAAACAAAAAAGCTGAGAGATGCCCACGAAAATTATGTTAACCAGCCCAGCAGCTGTGTTCAAAATCCCCACATCATATCATATCCATAAGCCACACCCCCCCTTTCCCCCTGTGTTCCCCCATTTCCTACCGCCGCTCTCTTCCCTCTCTGATGACAACTGCCATATCGTCGCGCAAGGCATTCAAATGTTCGGATGTCGCTGCTGCTGCAGAACATTGCAATTTGCAATACAATTCTTGTCTCTCTCTCTCTCTCTCTCGCTTCTCTCTGTCTCTTTTGCTCTTTTGTGTCTACAATCGCTGCATGAAAAAGTGGATACTGTTATGTTGGCAGAGGTTTTCCTTTACTTTTTGTGATGATTTTCATTCCGTGGAATGATTTTAATGTTTTTGTGTCTCTGATATGTCAAGAGAGCGGAGAAGTGGGCATTTTGGGGTGATAATACCACCTGTGTAGGGCCTTGTAGCAGTGGAATATCTAACAGAAGTACTCAAGATTCCATTTGGGTTCGAAAACCCTTCGTTGGGACTGATATTTTCTTATGAAATTCCCAGTCGCAAATCATATTTTATCCAACAAACTGGGAAGAACCTCCCGAGGCCAGCCATCTAATTTCTGCATCAAGTCTAAATCAATCAATGAATGGAAAATGTATGTAGATAGAATGTAATATTGATTACCTACTCACCGTATTTCTGCCAAAAGGTATCGCTGTCCAACAGCTGCTGCTGCTCCTGCTCCTCCTCCTGCTTCGACTTTGAATTGAAATTGGAATCAGAATTGGAATCTGAATCGGAATTGCCTGGGGCAATGGCGATCGAATCCTCTTCATAAACTTCTGTGTAAAGTATGAACTCGAGCCGAGATGTGGCAGCGGTGGTTGTGCTGGAGGTGGCAGTTGCAAGCAGACGTTGCCGCTGATGTTGCTGTGGCTGTTGCTCTTTCTGCGGTGTCAAAGGTGATGCAGTGGTCGCTGTTTGGATTGTATCACGTTTAAAAATACGATGCTGCTGCTGCTGCTGCTGCTGCAGAGGAGATGTTGCTGCCCCAGGCCCGGGCACATGTGATGGCAATGTTGTTGATGATGCTGCTTTCTGTTGCTGTTGCTGTTGCTGTTGCTGCTGCAACAATGTAGCACGTTGATTAATTTGATATGGCAAGAGCATAGACGACGCGGGCGATACGCGGGACACAGACGCGGAGGCGACACCACCGCCAGTCGAGTGCAACGCGTCGCGACGACAACGGCAACAGCGACAGAGACAACAACGACAACGATGATGCAAATGCAGATGCTGTTGGTGCTGCAGATGATGATGATGATGATGATGATGAAGCCAGGAACAGGCCAAGGGAGGAGAATGGACTATGGCTGTGGCACAGGGGGCACAAGGGGCACAACTACGAGTACGAGTACGAGTACGCGTATGGGGACTTAAGTGGCAATCCGCACTCGATGCTGGTAATTTATTTTGCAAATTTGTGCCAACAACAAGATGTTCCACCTCCTCCTGCTGCTCCTTCTTCTGCTTCTCCTTCTCCTTCTCCTTCGTTTGGGGCAAGAGTTTGCCCAGAATTAAATTTAACTTACGCGTATTATTATTTGCACTATTTACACTGTAAAAAACTTGAACATTCTCCAACACTCGCTCTCCAACACTACTATTTACAAGACTTTCGGCGGCGCCTCTTCCAGCATTCGGTTCGAATGGATACGGAAACGGATTCTTCAATGTCGAATGCCCTGTCGAAGGGGGGCATGTCCGACACTTGTTGCCGCTCTCCTCCTTCTGCTGCTGCAGCTGCTGCTCCCCTCTCCTCTGCTGGGGAGGAGGATGTTGTTGCACTCTGGACGCCCACAAGTATGCAACACTCTGCTGCTGCTGCTGCTGCTGCTGCACGTGGCCGTGCCGCCTCTGCTGCATTGGCACCGCGAGGGCTTGGGCTGGGTCTGAAGCTGCTGCTTCTGCTGTTGGCTGGAGAAGCGTTAGTGTGGAGAGCAGGCAAACCACAGTGCACCACCGCACCACCGATGTGCACCACAATGTGCAGCGGGCCCCCGCGGCGCCACTGGCTGCATGCGTGGGGGCCACAGCGTCGTCCGGCGGTTGCGATCGGATTGTTTACGCCCCCACCGTATCCTTTGCCGCAATCCTCTCGCCGATTACCATTTTGTCATCGATAACACACAGCACACACAGGCACACAGAGGAGCTTCCAAGCGATTAATCGGCGGCTGATTTATGGCTGCAAGAAGAAGGGAGAAAACTGGATGACAATCAATGAATTCCAGATTGAATTTAATAAGGAAATTCTCCAAAAAATATCAAGAATTTTGATACCCATTTGCCAATGTTTTGTTGGCAATGTTTTTCGTGGTAATTTCTCTCAGTGTTTTTATGCTGTGTGGTCGCCCACTTTTGGTTGCTGTTGTTTGTGTTTCTTGCTTTGTTTTCGTCGTCTGTCCTTGTTACAAAGAATCTTCCGTCCTTAGCCTCCCTTTCCCCTACACCACTCCACTCTAGACGAAAATATATCCACCTCGTGAGTGCGTGAGTGAGTGAGTCATGAACGATAGAGGGAGAGAGCGAGGAAGAGGTGCGTGTGTGTCGCCGCGCGGGGCATAAATAACCCCAAAGAGAAGAAGACACAACAATGGCTGTGTGTGTGTTGCATGCTGCATGCTGCATGCTGCATGTCGCGTATGCGTAATATTTTGCACAAATTTATGTTGCACTTCTTTTCGACTTCATTTTTATTATCATATGAGTGGTGGCATGGTGGCAGGGGCAGCATCTAATTTTAAAGCAGATACAATAAAGGGAGCTGCATGGGAGATGGACTGTACTTGGGGGCATGCCCTGCCATGCTCTCTGCTACAGCGGCCTCTCTACACGCCCCTCATTTTAGGAGATGGAAATAGAGACAGGTAAAAGGTAATCGGTGGAGTCACCCTCCCCGCTCCAGCCTCTTACGCTCTCTAAACTTTATTTCCGTGGATGGGGAGTGCGGAGTCCCACGTCCCTGCCCTGCGTCCCTCTCTGTCTGGTTCATTTAATATGCGGCATTCTGCTGATGATGAGGAGATCGCTTCACAGTCTGCTGTGGTGTCTGCTGTTCTGCGTTGTGTTGTGTTGTCTTGTGTTGTGCTGTGCCTCTGATAAAACTGCCACACAATGTTGCACCCCAATGTGTCAGAGACAGATTGATGCCACAGACAACAACAAGATGGATCCCTGTTAATGCATTCACCCAAAGGGTTGGGGGGAAGACGCAATGGGGCATGTGGAATGGGTAGGATGCATCATCCTCAATCCCATCCTCATCATCGTTGTCTGATGATTCTGTTGTTGTTTTCCATGCCACTCTTCCATGTCTCTCTCTCTCTCTCTCTCTCTCTTGCTCTTTATTGAAATTCCTTTCAAGTGTCTGATGATCATCATCATCTGCTGCTCCTGCTTCTCCTTCTGCATGATGATCTCCCTCCAGCACACGATCATAATCATTAACGGCCTTTGCTTGTGTGTCTCTTCCCCCTTCCAGACGGAGACAGACGGCAGACTGCAGGGTACGTCACATGCAAGGTACAGCAGAGAGAGGGAGGGAGCTAACTACCGTACGCCGATGCTTAAGTTTGCCCTACCTTTCGTGGCTTTTTTGCACGTTCCTTGGACAGACAAAAACACTTCACGCTCCACTCCGTCGGCTACTGTTTCCCCTCTCTTTCACTCACTCTCTCTTTGTTTCTTTTGTTGCTCTTTGGCAATTTATTTGATTGCCTCTTCATTTCAACTCTTCGTTCCCTCCCCCCCCCCCCCCCACTTTAAGCCCCACCCCGAGAGACCTTAAGTCGAAATTTATGTCTGCCATAAAAACACAATCCCCGATTCTCCCAGTTATAATTAATAAAAAAAACATAAAAAATACAACGAAAAATGCAAAATAAAGCCCACAAAAAAGAGGCCCAGAAATGCGGCCATAAAGTGCTGACAAGTGCTCCCCCGTGCTCCAGGGCAGAGCAGAGAGCTCTTAAGAGATCTCAAAAGTGGAGACTCTCGTCTCGCGTGAGTCAAGATCATTTTCAAAGACGACAGACAGAGTTTGTTTATGTTTTTATGCCTATTTTTGTGGCCAAAGTTTATGGTGGAGCATGAAATGATTGGCAGAGTGGAGAAGTCCCATCGTATACATTTTTATGGAAAGAAATTGCAAAACGAAACATAAGTTAGATGCAATTTTCAACATTGGATTCTGCATTTTTAATTATTTTATTACATGTTTTGCGCTCTAAGCCCTTTCGGGCTGGCTGTTCCATGCAATTTTCAAACCAAAACATACAAAATTTTAATGCAAAATAACAAACAAGAGAAGAGAGAGAGAGAGAGAGAGGCCCAAGAAGATGCGAATTTCTCATCTAATTCAAACACATTCCAGTTTATTTTTAAACAAAACGCTAAATTCCTTCATTTATTTTGGTTTTGGCAAAAAATAGTAAAAGACCGCCACCGAGTGGGTTAAGGGGGGATGGGATTTAGAGATGGGATGGGCGGTGCGTAAGCTCAGGAATTCCGATCGGACCGGACCCGGACCCCAACCCCGGACCGGCTGTTATCGATGAAAGCGAACATTGGCATTTGGCAGATAAGAGAGGAAGGAGCATGTAGATCGGATTGGAGTATCCGCTATCCGCTCTACATCGGATCGGCGGTAGTCGGCAGTGTCTCTGTGGTCTGTTCGAGGAGGATACATACCAGAAAACGCTCGAACGCCGCTCGGTTTGACATTGAGAAAACGCAAATTGTAGGAATTTCGGTCCCGTCCGTTCGATCGATCGTTGGAGAAGCTTCTAAATACTCCGTTGCACTCTCGCACTCGCACTCTCTCTCTTTTGCTCTTACTTGCTAACACTCACTCACGCACGACTATCGATTAATCAGGAATCGGAATTTCACACATGACACGCAAGTATTTGCACTCTCTCCTTCTCTCCCTCTCTCTCTCTCTTTTTTCTCGCTCGCTCTCAGTAGTACCGTTACTGGTCAGGGTAGCGCCCTCTGGCGTCTGTTTGGCTACACTACGCACTCACTGCACGCACTCCACTCCCACACTGTCGGAATTTGCGGATAAAAAGAGAAGGAAAAAAAAACGTATCCACTGTCGGGAGAGAGCGGCAGCAGGTCGCGCTGCCTGCTGTTTACCGTTAGCTTAGTACTCTCTCTGAGTAGTGAGAATTCCTAGATATTCCCGTTACCGTTACCCGTTCGGTTACCGTTCTCCGATCTAGCCGCAGACCTGCGCTGAACTGAACTAAATGGCGTTTTTTTTCGCATCGTCTGCCTAACATAAAAACTGCCATCCCATGCCATCCCCATGCCCGTTTGTCTCCAATATTTCACACATTTTCCCGCACACACTCAGGCGATACTCAGACTCGGGCGTCTACTATATAGACGGATATATAGAGATCCCTATTCTAGCCCCCTTCCCATGGGAGAGAGAGGAAAAGTCTGGCAAGGCAAGGCAAGGCAAGGCATGGCATGGGAGGGGCTTGCAGAGGGACGGGACGGGGACTCCGACGCGGCGACAGGCGTGTGTCGCGCCACGCCGTGCCTTTTATTTTTACCGCCCATTTTGTTGTTGTTCCCAAGATTTTTGCAAGCAACAAAAAAAAACCGAAAAATTATTTTTGTACTTAAAAATAAATTGAAAAGCATTTTCTTCATATGTTTTCGGGATGCCCTTTTGTGCGGGGAGGGTATTATGATTGGGACGAGGAGTTCGTCATCTGTAGACTCCTCATCCAAATTGCACAATTACATATATCAGATATGCCAGTACATAATAGGAATCATCCCATCCGCAAGGGTATCAAATGCTTCGGGAGAGGGCAGGAGTTGCGTGGCAGCCACATTGTGGCACAGCGAAAACAACAACGGCCGCATGAAAATCAAGCGTGAAGCGTGAAGCGCGCTGCTCTCCCTCGGATCCCCCTACGGAGTGTCTTCCCAAAGCGCAGCCAAGTCTCCACGGAGAGTGTAGAGTCTACACTCTCCGCCAAAGGGCCGGCCGCAAGAGGATCTACGGGGTATCTCTCTGTCTCTGCGTCTCGACATCTCTCCGTCCGACTATGCTCATTATTTCGCTATCAGTGAGAGACAGAAAGAGGCAAAGAGGGAAATAGCAACAACAGCAACAACATTTAGTCCAAAAATATCCCCAATAGAGGGAACAACAACAGCAGCAGTGGCAGTGGCAGCAGCATAATTTGTATTCAAAAAGAGAATAAGAATGTTGCAGAGTTGTTGCAGAAACAACAAACAGAAAGAACACAAGGAAAAACGCGGCGGGAGCGAGATGGAGGGTAAGAAAAGAAAGAGACGCAAAGAAATATGAATATACTTGAAGTGCAGTAAAAGTCGAATGGGAAATGCTCTTTCTTCTCCGTTTGAGATTTAGGTGAAAACGGAACAGGAGCAACAGAAAATTGTCTGTTCATTGATGGTTTTTTAATTGAAATGGAAATTGAATTGTAAATGGAAATGGAAATGGAAATGGAGGAAATATCTGTAATAATTTATGGTATCCGTTTCAGATTCTCTCGATGGAACTCGCAGCTACAACTGAGGGTAAGTGTCCTCCATTCATTGTGTAGATCTTTTGATTTGTATTTTGTATAATTTTTATTACATACGAATGAAGATAAGCTTCTTCTGTGTGAAAATTATCCTCAGCTCAGGGGACATTCTTCCCATACTTATGTAGAGCATAAAAAGAGTACCAGTCGGCGGGTGTGATAAGCGTTAAGCGGTAAGCGGTCCGCAATGGGAATGGGAAGATCTTCTCTGTGGTCGCCTCTGGGGTGGAGGGAATGTCTTGGGGTCTATTTTGGGACCCCCGACTGGCGACTGACTCACCCTCAGCCGATCCTCTGGCCCACGAA